ACACACACACACACACACCAAACACAAACATGCATGATCCATTTCTCCTTTTAATCCTTTGCCTTCACATATAAAACCTTTTGAACAGAATTTACAAACTAACCCACAATCACGTTTAGCTCAGAGAAGGTTGAAGTTATTCACAGAATTTAAGAAACAGAGACTTGAATCTGGGAAAGTAGAAGATTTTCCAACACAAGTGAATCTTTGAGTTTCACATAAAAGTATGTATTTATCACGGGTCGATGATCTACACCAGAGACCCGCGAGAATCCATCCAGGTTTGTATGGAACTGATCAATAGGAGTTTTCATGGAGGTGCAGTGATTAGCAATATCACCTCACAGCAAAAATGATTCCCCCAGCAGACCAGGGCCGTGCTGTGGAGTTTGCATGTTCGCCTGTGCAAAGGGAAAACTCTGAATCTTCTGCATGTGAGCATGAGTGGTGTTCTGTTCCCACCCTGACTCTTGAAACATGTTTTCTACCTGTACACGGCGCTGGGCTCTGTGCTGTAAGACGCCCGCACCGCCACTCTGGTCACTTTGGCTAACACGGACAGGAAATCCCTCCGACTAATCACTTGCTCCGTCTCTGACACCAGGAAGTTTTGTGGCAGGAGGACGATGTGATTGGTGCTTGGCGAGGACGGATACACCGGCTGCCCAAACCTTCTGTCCACAATCTTCATCCCCGCGCCCTGATGAGGAGGGAGGAAAGAAACTTATTGTTGATTCTCATTTCTTTTCTTGTCTTCGTCGCAATTAACTTGTAGTTCCATGAATCCAGAGGAGTCTGAATTGTCTCTTTCATGAAACGACTATCATACCCGAGTGATGGGGGGATAAAAGCGAGTGAGAGTGAATGATGTGTCATTAGGTAATGAGCTGCAGTTACTATTGACATTCTGAATGGGCTGAATGCAAAGTGATTTGAGCCCAGGCCTGGTATCTGACTATCTCTTGTTGAGAACAGATCAATGACATGTAGCGGATAACACAGAGTGACAACTGCTGATGGAGGTGGAGAGAGAGAGAGAGGGAGAGAGAGAGAGAGCTTACCATGCCAATAAACCATTAAATAAAAACTAATTGAAAGAGAGAGAGAGTGGGGGAGCAGCTGCAGAGCAGTGAGATGCATGGACAAAGGTGGAAAGAAAGAAAGAAAGAGAGCAAGGCAAACAGAGGAGAAAATAGTTTGAATGTCTCTGAAAGTAAAGCTGTCCATCTTTTATCGTCTCTATCACTTCATCACACCTGAAAAAAAATCCAATTCAGTCATTGAAGGATAAGGTTGGCACTATGTGTTAGTCGACGTCTCAGTTCTTATTCATCTGTTTCCAGACCGGCTCATTCATTCCTCGGAAACTGGGTCAAGACAGTTTAGAAACGCCGGGCGCTGAGATTTCAAGATGAATAAATCCACATAATCACATGTGTAGGGACGGTTTCACATTGTTGACAAGTTTCTCATCCAGCCTGTGCATGAAGAGTCACCAGCATGCTCCTTGAGCACCAGAGGAAGAACCCCACGACACAGAAGACACTTGAAGAGGTACTGAAGGAGGCACAATGAAGTTTTGAAGACCATCGCTGAAGTTGTCAGCACAGGAGTTAAGAGGCCAAAGCAGTTTCAACCCTTCAAGCAGGCCATCGTGTTTGTCGGAGCTGGGCGCTGCCGACACTGAGACATTGTCCTTAAGTCTGAGTCTAACAAACAAGCTGGAGCCGACTGTCCCCTTGGGAAGATTGACAGGAAGAGACCTTTGATTCACCCTTTAAAAAACATTTTCTCCAACAATCACACATTCACACACAATTTGGTGCAATTTGAGGTTCAGACTTTTGCCAAAGGAGCCGAGAATCGAGTTCGGCACACGTGTACGTCCTGAGACGCGGCCGCCCCGAAGTCGCACTGGTTGTTACTGTTGGCGTGAAATGCTCGGTAATTACATTTTCTGTTAATGGAGGCTGATGAAGCGAGCCGAGAGAACGACACGGAGATCAACAAAGCCGCACTAAGGAACCGAGACAAGGGAGGTTATTGTCTATTCAGACGCCAAACGGTTACAACCAAAGACCCAGCGTCACAAAACCACGAAACCAACAATATCACAAGACGACGCAGAAACACAGAGTGTAAACAGTGGAGGGGGGAGAACGGGACAAAGCCTGAAAGAGAGAAAGTTGGTTGACAGTGTGTAGGTGGTTCTTTATTGGCATCATTTGGAAGCTTTCTGTTGACAACAAGACCGACACTTGTCCTCCTCTCCTCCTTCTCCTCCTCCTCCTCCTCCTATCTCCTCCGAGTCTGTCGCTCACACCGACACAGCTTTAAATAACACAAACACAAAATCTGTGACCATCCGTCTCTACGTTTTGATATTTTACTGTGTTTCTTTTCCTTTTGCTTCTTTCCTTCACTCCAATGTTCTTCCTTTTCTCCTTGACCCTTTCTTCCTTTCTTTTATCCTGTCTTCTTCCATCACCGTCTTTTAATTTTCCTACTCTCTCCATTTGGGTCTTTTCTTTGTCTTCTTACCTATTTCTTTCATTTCTCTTCTTTCTTTCATTCTTTTCTTCATCTCCTTTTGGCCTCCCTTCCTTTTTCAATTAATTTCACTCTATTTTTTTAAGTTTAATTCTCTTTCACTTCAAAATTCTGTCTTTGTGTCATTTCTGTCTTCCGCTCTCTTTTACTTCCTTTGTTCACGTCCCATTCCTTCCTTCTTTTTGTCCTTCCTTCCTTCCTTTTGTTCTTTCATTCAGTTTTTAGTCAGTAGAAGAGAATCCTTTAAAGGTTTCTCAATAAAGTTTCAAAATATCTGTTTAAAAGTGTGTGTGTGTCCAAAGTAACAGTGTCATGCAGCTCTGACACACACACAGACGCTGGTCCACACCAACCTGAGCCATTTGTGTTTGTTTGTGTACTTCACTGTACGCTCACACACACAACGGCACAGTGTTGTTCATGGTTTTAAACATAAACAGTTAACGAATAGTGTCAGTGCTTTGCTTATTGCTGCCATACATCATATCACAGCCTGCTCATTATAAAGACATACACAGAGCAACGAGAGGGAGACGCCATCTGCATTTTTTATTGCTACGTTCAGCATTTCTCTGCCAGCTGTGGCTGTGTGTGTGTGTGTGTGTGTGTGTGTGTGTGTGTGTTAATGTGCTGCTTCATTTAGTGGTTTTCACCGGTGGAAGAGTCACACACACACACACACACACACAACAAATTCACTGTTATTTGTCGATGCTCCTGACCAAGAGAAGCTCTCAGAGAATCTACCACATGTACCAAGAGAGACCAAATACACTGTAGGAAAATAACTTAAACAGTTCTTATATAAATATGTGAATGCTCAGTGACATCTTTACCTTTGTATTGTTTTTAAAACGTACCTCTATGATGAGGTCGGGTTCTGAGGTGACTCTCACTGCCATTTGTTCTTGCTGGTCCGTCGTATAGGACACGGCGTAGACCACACTCCCTCCGTAGGCTGGAAGCTGCGCAGAGACAGAGAAGGAGACATTTGAAGCAGGTTAATTGCAATATTGGATTTTGTCCAAATCCAGGTATCCGCACTTTAAACCAAAGAAGTATCAACACAGATGGCTGAAGAAAATTAAAGATTTAGAGGCAGATATACAAAACCAAGGGGAAAAATAAATTATACAAATCAACCTATATAAATTACAAACTGAACAATCGTCACGTGACATGATTTTGGCCGATACAGTGCATTTCACAAACGTGTCTCGCTATGTACGAGCGTGTTGACACATATCTCTGCTGCGCACACGAGTCAAAGTCAAAATAAAGTTTTAAAAAATTCTACTTCTACAGATTAATGCACCTTAAGGGCCAGTGTGTGTATGTTGGTATGATTAATATTTTCTAATTACATTAATTACATTACTCTCTCTCATTACAAGTGTAGAATGGAAAATTGTTCAATAAATCAATACAGAAAATCCTCCATATGAACATTTTCTTGAATACATGTGTAACTCCTTGAGGGAGCAGCATTACTCCTGTAACTATTTTATCAGTAATTCAACAAAACCTCAGAGATTATTTGAAATGTGTACAAAAGTAAGGAGAAAACACAAATAAGCCCCAATCTGTGTCGTCCTGTGCAGCGTTTCTGTCGAGTCCACAGAATGAGCCTCAGCCGGAGAAACGCTGCGTCGGCGCGATCCTCCTGAAATATATTATTCTGCTCCAACCTGAGCAGTAATGGGCGGAGGAGCGAGATAATAATGCCATCATAAAAACAGAGAGGGGAGACATGGAGGAAGAGGGGGAGAGAGACAAAGAGCGAGTTAGAGAGGAGGTGGCCTTAATGCCTCTATAAACTTCTGCCATTCTACATCATTACTCTCAGTTCTGAAACTAGAAGGGGGAATCACCCATTTCACAGCTGAATGAAAATACACACCATCAGGTATGGAGGTGGATGTTTTATTGACTAACACCACTTTATTCTAATCTAACCCCATTTGCTGTTTTGGACCTGAGAAGTAAAAATGTAAAGAAATTGTAGTTTTATTCTTAGTCTCTCTCAGAGAAACTCAGGTTTCTCTGAGAGGCAGCTAAAATAAGAAGCAGCTAAAAGATGCTAAATGCAGGTAATAATTCTTTGTGGGAAACTAGCAGACGGAAGATTTTTCTTCCCATGGCCGATATTGATCATGATACCCGGAGTTTGTGTATCAGCCGATCCTTCGTCGATATTTATGCATATGCATGTTTAGTTTTTTTGTGCTTTTGTTCCTATTCACTCTGCATGATTGTGTTTTATTTTATCTGGATCATATGGAAACATTGAAGAGTTATAAACAAGGATTCCAAGGATTTCATTCTTAAATATTTTGTCTACGTGTTGGTTTTGAAATGTTAACCTGTTGTGACCAATCTAACAAAGAAATAATAATAATTTGTTTGCATCTGAAATTCACAAGAATGAAGTTAGAATAAACAAAATATACCAAATGATTACAAAGCTCTGTAAATGCTTTACTTTTTCTACCTGAGCATTAAAAGTTGATTTGCATGTTGTCTCATACTTGTTTGTGTTATCGTGCTCGGTAAAGCACTCAGCAGTGAATCAAGGCAAAGAAAAGGCTGCATGCGTGTGTTCCTCCACAAACACTGCTGCACCGACAGCACTTGTACTTCTTCTGTGGGTTATTCCTCTATTCACTTAGCCGACCTGAATTTAGCAATTTGCTTTCTTTGAAATTATTGACATTTCTGAAAACCCATTTCGCTGATGCCATCCACTCAACGGGCACAATATTCAGAGCTTTTGTCATGGCAACCTGACGACCCATCTCCACCCGGGAGGAGAGGAAATAGAAGAAATGCAACACAGGAAAGAAAAAAGAGCAAAAGAACAGCGCAGCAGGAGAGGGGAATTATGGGGAGAGGAAGGGAAGAAACAAACAATAAACTCAGACTCATACAGCTACAATAGATCTCAGTGGGAATCCAGTGAGAGCTCGATAAGCCTGTTATTAACTCCATTAGTGGCCAAAATAAGAAGAAGGACGAGACTTAATCCTTGTAGTTAAAATCCTAATCAAGAGCAAAGCAGTCTTTGAGTGTGTATGAGTTTGATCTGGGGGTGAAACACTGGAAACACGATGGGATTTTGCTGTAAAGTTTCTGCTGCAGTTTTGCCGACTGCAACCAAAATGATTTCAAATCCTTAAAAAAAAAAAAATCCTTGACCCAAAATAATGAGAAAAGTTTAATTGACAAACACGAGTGAAAAGGATGCGGACACACAAAGAGGAGGACAGACCGAAAAGGAAGGAGGGCTGCAGACAGACCTGAGGAGAGAGGAGAGAAAAGATGGGACGAGAAGAAAGAAGGACGGCAGGAGGATGAAATAAGCGCAGGATGAAGAGGATGAAGAGGATGAAGAGAATTTGAGGAGTAAAGTTATGATGTTTAATTTGCTTAACCGTAGGTTTGGGATGGAGCAGGGAGAGGTGTGAGAATGAGTCACGCTCAACCTCCGTCCTCCTCCAGGGTTCCCACCGGAGCCCTGATCTAATATGACGTTCTCTATATCTGTAGATAACAAAGTCTTTTTAATGACCTGCAAGTGTGAGTCCACTGTAACGCTGCTGTGTTTCTAAAAAAGGTTTGATTTCTGCAACACCATCTTTTCTGTCCCTGTCTGCTAACATGGAGTAAGCAGGCCTTATGACCTATTCTTCAGCCAACCACTAGAGGGCAATCAAGACGATTTCGCTCAATTTGGATTGTATGTTCAAAACAATGGTCTGCAACGCGATGATTGACAGCTGAGACTGACTCCTGATTGGTCAAGTCACGTCCGGGACATTTTGGATTCATTTCTGGACAGTGGGAGGAACAGGAGACACGTCATCCATGTTGTTATACAGTCTGTCGGACTGGAGGTGAGATAGTTCATCCACTACTGTTTGTCACTGATAAATAACACAAGTCAGAATAAAACATTCTTCCTCTTTTTTTTGTCGCCCAAAACATCAACATCAGTAGAATTCTTCTCATCATCTTTGATTTTAACCAGAAAATACACATACGAGAGAAGAAAGTACTGCTTGGAGGAAGTAATGACGTTACTCCAATTGAAATCATCTATTAGTATGCAACTTTTTTTTGGGGGGGGGGGCTGCACCACATGCTACCTTCTTCAGACAGGGATGTTTGTCGATCTGCATTTGTTCGGCTGTTCGCTGTCAATCACCGGAGCACAAAAGCTGACAGCGGCAGGGAGACTGGGCTGAGGGAGGGAGGGAGAGTTGTACGGGGGGGGGCAAAGAAAATCATCCTTCAGGAAATGAAAACCAGATTGTCACAAAAGCTTTACAAAACAAACTCCCCTAAACTGACACACACACACACACACGCACGCTCGTAGGCGCACACAAGGACGCACAAATACCCAGTGATACACACTCAGAGGCGGAGGTATAAACACACACACACACATCTCGTCTTCTGTGATGCCTGTGGTTGTTTGCAATTGGTATCGGAAGTTTTCAGTCTGTTTGTCTACCGCTTGCACACATACAGACAGACACACAGACACAGACACACACACACACACACACACACACTATTGTTGTTCCTAGCAGTACAGTTAGATTGGCTCCAGATGGACCAATAGTCAGTGGAATGCTGAACAACATAGAACCGCAGACCTTCTGTGTGTGTGAGAGTGATGTATGTTGAGAAAACTGAGCCCTTGTAGAAAAAAGTAGCAAAACTAAAAAAATCACATCTCATCCGTGTTGACACTCGGGGCATGTCCGAACACGGACTTGTTTGGTTTTATATCTTCAGGGTCTTCTCTGTGCAGGCTTTTCTTTTTTCTGTGTTGCATCATGACTGTTGGTGGGAGATGGAAGACGTATCCTTGAGGAAAGCAGTGCAATCACTTCTTTCTCCTGGTGTAGAGGAACGGCGTGTCCGTGGGGGCTTGTGTTACTCTTGGCTTCCAGGAGATATCAAACAATAATATAGTTTATTAATTATCTCGGGCAGGGAGGTTATGTTTCTCACCAGTGTCCATTGGTCTCTTTGTTTGTCGGCGGGATTACGCAGAAATGACTCAACATGACAGAGAGGTCGCTGGGGGCGGATCCAGGACTTCTTTTACATTTTTCTTTAACATTGTTAGATTTGAGTTTTCTGACATTTTCTCCAATATCCCATGGAATCATTTATGGATCTTGATGAAAATCAAATCTGGTATATTTAGGGGACTGATATTGATGAGAAAGTGCAATTTAATGTGGATTCAAATGTGGTTTCATGAGGGGACTACTGGGCCTTGATGGTTTGCTTTCCACTGAGCATGACTCTAGTTTTATAAAGCAGTTGCAACCATGTAAATATGTGAATAATCTCCGAGTTACTGTGGAATTTTATAGACATAGATCTGATTTCTCTTGGTTACTGTGGTATCACACTTCAGACAGTGTGCTTCTAGAAACTTGGTTGAGGACTTATGGATACGGTTCTTGAGTTGGCCCACATAATTGTGTGCACAGCCATACATACATGCACTTATATCAATTCCCCTCATGTACTTATAGTGAGTGTCAGTCAAGAGTATTTAAATAAGTATAAATGTGTGAAGTTGAGGTCAACAACCCAACACTTCTGCACTTGTGGTTCATTATATTTTATAACAAATGGACGAATATAACTGCAAATCGGTGTTTGCGTAGAAGTAAAACTGTGTCAGAGTAGACGAGGTTAGACGTAACATGACTCATCGTGCACATCTCATCCAGGAAGAAGACTAAGTGCAGCTCATTTACCTCCGATAAGAAAAAGTCGAGCAGCAGCTTGATGTGTATCAGACTTGAAGAGACCGGGATCACGTGTTATCGTAGGCGTCGCAGCTAGTAGCAACATGATGCTAACTCTGATAGCTTTACAATGCAATTGAAGCTCATTGGCTAGAACAAGACTTTATTATTTAACAGATTACAAACCTGTTGACAGCTTTTATCTGGTTTCCTTCAAATATCAACTGCAGATCCTCTTCGACAAAGGTCCACAGGGTCAAAATGAAATCTTACATTTCACGACATAACGTTTTAGTTTCACATTAATCACATGAAATCATCAGTGACTGGGGACTGCAGTGACTCATGTTGAGCTCCTACAGGTGAAATCCAGCTGTGATGATTTTCTATTCTCCGAGACATTCGATCACTGTGTAGATCTCACACTTTCCAAATGTGTGTGACAACAAAATGATTCGCTTGGAACAAAAACTGGAACAAATCCACTGTGATTAATGTAAAGACACTTTTTCAGCTCTCTAAGTGGGGACAAAAAAAAAAAGAGGGGAGGGCGGGTGTGGGGGTGGTTGGGGAAATCAATCTCGTTCAATCAGGACCAGATTAGGAGTGACACCGTACACAAACTCCTCTACGCACATTTCTCTCTCTCATAAGTCACAGCTCAGCAGCTCATGTTTCTCTTGAAAAAAATAAACCAAGATTATTTCCAGAAAAGTATTTTAAAGATATATTCTGGTGACAGGCGTCGAAAAATCACAGTGAAATATCTTTGAAACGCCACTGCTTTTTCTTTCCGCCTCGGGTTTGCACCTGTAGCAGGATTTTGTATTACGTCTTTACAGAACAATATAAACGACAAGGAAGATGAAGGATGGTTGCGGAAAGTTGGGGAAGGCAGAGGCGGCGTTAGAGGGAGTTAGGGCAGAATGCAACACAAGCTGAGCTGTGTGTTTGTCGGGTTTCTGTATATTTTGAGCCGAATCCTTCATCAGCTGTCAGCAAAGGATGTTTCTTCTTCCTCCGTGTTCATCCATCATCCCTTTATCTCCCCGCCTCAATCTCCCAGTACTCCCTCTTTCTCTCTTTCTGTCCACCTCTGTCAGTACTTCCTTCAAATCATGAGACTTTTTTTTGTTTTTCAAGCTTTCATCCATCTTGACTGTGAATCTGTTTGTAAATCTGGATACGAGATGGATACATGACTTGACAGCTTGTGATGGAAATTAGAAATATGGTTAAAACCATGGTGATGTTCTGTAGAGACATTTTACATTTTCATATTCGGAGCCAAAAACAAAGTAAAACAAAATGATGCTGCGCAGCCCTGAAGAATAAAACAACACTGTCGTACAATCATTCTCTGTATGTTCATAATATGGACTGTAAATAAAGATGGATGAGACTTCTTCTGTTGATGTCATTTGGAGTCTGCACAGTAGTGATGGTGGTGCGGAGCCGGAGTATCGAGGTCCTGTCGATACACTCGAACGATCACGAGTCAGTCTAAAGATTAAGAAACTCAACTTATCAGAGACAAGAAGACTTGAAAATATGTCCACGTGATAAGAACTAGATAAAAAATGACCAAAACTATCTTTGAGAAACTTACTTTTTACTTCGGTGCATGTCCCATCCACTAACATGGAGGAGGAGTATTATGGCCTATAGTGGGATAATCAAGGTGATTTGTCTTCTGGTGAGCTGTCATGTCTCATCTTCATACACAGTGACTGTTCACATAATGAAGGTATCCCAACTTTATATAAAATATCAATTAGAGCAACTCTCCTCCTCTGCACCAAAATCTTTTCAACAACGAGTTTTAAACCTGCAGAATTCTTCCGTCTGATCGTTGCAACATCATTATTTGTATTTGGCTGAACCCTTGACTGCAAAATTCAGAGAACACTGCAAAATGATTCTTCTGCTTTCATGACCGTCATCGCAATCCTGGAGAACGAGCAGTTCCTGAACCTACGCGGACGATAAAATACCCAATGAGCATCAGTGGAACATGTTTCTGGACCAATGAGCATCCCACAGAGCGTGCTAACGAGCCAATGAGCATTCTCGGCTTTAACCAAACAGGAGGTCATGCAAGAGAATTAAAAAAGCTATCACATGCATTCACACTCGTATAAATCCACTGCTGGCTTGTCATTATGTACACGACCTGTCACTTCCAATGATGCACAGCAACCTGACAAACCACAGTGTGTGTGTGTGTGTGTTAGTGTGTGTGTGTGTGTGTGTGT